CACCTGATACGGAAAATATTCCCTACAAAAAGATGAAACAGAAACTTTATCCCCGTATACAAAACGCAGGGTGAATGACGAAGCATTACAGATTTGTACTGCTGCAAATCACAGAAGGTAACTTCAAGGGCACACGGTGATGCAAGAAAGGCAAGTGTGATTCAAGAAGGACAAAATGACTATGAACAAACTGTGTGACTATGAAAGAAGAGGTGAGATAAATGATACCTAAATTGGGTACACTGAGATGTTACGTCAATGTCATAAGATCATATCATCAACATTAGTGATATTAATCAAGATTCCTTGAAAATTGTGGCCTCGTCGCTAAACTTCTCGTCAACCATTGTGGTTCAAACGCTCCCAAATAAAACTCATTCCAAAGTAACTGTTGTAATAACGTTTTGCAACGCTTTACATGTGCATTTATCAAGATTCTTGCAGTAGAAGTTGTAGCAAATAACAGGCATCTGTAAATAAGGCATACATTTGCGGAAAAGTGAAACGACCTGTCGTAAAAGAACCTCTTCACCATCACGTTTGTGGACGCAGGCAGGATCAATCCTAAAAGTCTGAGGTTCAAAAGGCATACACAAGACTGGTACCTACCGTGACACAGAAGATGGACTTCCGTGGATGATTGCAGCCACTTCATCAAGATCGTCTGAAAACAGAGTAAATAAATCTAATTGTGTAAAACACTAATAATCAAGTCAAGCTCTCCGGGAAAGACAACTGAGAGACGCTGAATGCTTTAAATTTCAAAAAAAAAATTAACAGCTTCGACTGAGTTCATTTGTGCCTACCGAAGTCTAGGAAAAGGAACTTGCTGTATAAAATGAACATTCATTCCCAAGTGACGTTGCACCACTTTGCTTCTAAACCGAGAAAACCGCTTCAGAAGGTGCAACGTGGACACCTCTCGCAGTCGCGCGCGTTTTGCTATCCATTACAAATTGCAAGCATTTGCAAATCGCACTTTGAAGTGGTCATATCGACGGTACATTGGGTCCCACAACGGTTCTGTGCCCAGGTCAGATCAAAGCCTTCTGGTCAAAGTCAAAAGCCATCAAGTCAAAAGCCAAAAGGTCTTGACACCATGTTGTTCATGTTGCCGACATCTTATATATAAAGCCGAATGT